AGTGAAGAGACATTAACGCAGCTGTCTTATTGTTGTGGATGGGATGATCAACTCTAGGAGGGGAAGTCGGAGCAATGTGATTGGTCTCGGTTACCATGGGTTCCTTCGTCAAATGGTGAATCTGAATCTGGTTATTCAGTAACACACTGTCTCTCGGTCTAAGTTTATTATGAGAGCTTGCGAGCCGTACCTACCGTCAACCTACCGAAGGGTACACTGCAGGTAAAGTAATTCCCGAAGGCCGGTCTCTGAACGATTTCCATCAGACCACCGACACGCCGGTTGTTCCACTGTTTCCGTGCGACTTCAGTATCTTGTTCCTTTAACCTGCACGACGTGAACGGCTGGAGAAAGCTGTACTTCGTTTTACAACCGCGCGCGCGCGGTACCTTTCTCTGATCGCTTTCCCATTTCACCGGATCACGGTCTCTCTGGCATTCTTTCGAATTAGGCAGGAGTGACGGACTTAATAATAGAATATTATCTGTACACACTGACTTTGATAATGCAGAATAATCGATGCTGAATTTATTCTTTCTGATAGCGTGGAAATAGTTTTGAACGTTGGAAACACTTGTTTAGTTTCAGAAGACCAGAGTTAATCAGAACACGTTCCGTGCCATGTGTACCATTTATGGTGAGGATATTTTGAGATATTTGTGAGAATAATAGTACACGTCGCGAAACAAGAAGAACGTAAAGAATTAATATGGAAATGTCTTAAGGAAGCTGGAAACGTTAATGATTTGTTACTCTTTGTACTAATTAACCCTTTGCACTCGAGATGCGACTCTCGCTTGATTCGATGCAGTAAGACTATAGAATTTGATATTTAATATTCAACTGTATACATTGGCATGTGTAATAGGATAAAATAGCTTTGTTTCTCAATTTACTTGTGATCTCTTTGACTTCATCTCAAAAAACATCTTGGTTGTCTAGTCAGAAAATTCTAAATATTTCTAACGAAATACTCCTGAGTGCAAAGGGTTAAGCCTTTGCACTCGAGGGGTGACTCAGTCACCATTCGATACAGCAAAACCATGAAGTTAAATATTTAAAGTAAACTTTGTATTGTGAAATATTTAAGTAAAACATCTTCGTTGCTCAATTCATCTGTGAATTCTCGTTAGATTAGGTTCAAACAACGTCGTCAGTATCTCGTCGGAGGATCTTGAATATTTCCAGTAAGAAACTTTCGAGTGCAAAGGGTTAAAGGGTCAGTAAGCGTGACACTCGGTCCGCCAGTTCGTCACCCCTGAAACCCACGACGCGCTGGATCAAAGGAGAAGATCTGAGAACGGTTTCGGTCTGGAACTCCTAAACGGTGTCTAAAGCTCATCCAAATTCATTTCCGTCCCGTTTATCCCGGTTCTTCCTTGAACGCTAATCGACCGAGCTCTCCGTCCGTCCCTTACCTTTCACCGTGTCCCGCATAGAGATCGGCCGACTGTAAATGCCCTTTTACTTATTGTTTAGGTACGGATTACTCTGTTTTTACATGATGCAGCCCGCCTCTCGGCACGCGCGATGCACATCCCTGCTTGACCCTTAGGAGCGTCGTCACGTAAAAATGGGAACATGAAAATTATTTCTTTTCGCTACCTTGCCACGAAACAATGATCTCTCTCTCTCTCTTTCTCTCTCTCTCTCTCTCTCTCTCGATCCTCCGATAATTTACAACTTGTAGCTAGATTTTTTTCTTGGTCGATACATGTATATGTAACTAAAGGGGACGTCGGGCGTGGTGAACAATGATTATCTGTAACACTCGCTCACTCACAACACACATGTTTGTTCAAGCTCGTCGAAGAACGGAGAATCCTGAACGCCGGTGAGAATTGGCCTCTAAGCGACGATGACGAATGAGATGACGGGGTGTGGCGAGGGGCGCGTGTCGCGTGCCGTCGAGTCCACCGGACGCATTCCGGAGAATCGATGGACACGAGATCAGACGCCTGAATCGCTCACGTTTCCAAGATGACGTTTCTAGCGCGCACCCAGTTACCTTTACTCCTGTTCTCAGACCAGATCCCCGGCCCCGTTACACGAATTCGCAGAATGTGCTTCGTCTTCTCTGTCTCCGTTTCGTTCTACGCTCCCACCCCGGGCCGACTAGATTCTCCGTTGTCCAAGAGGAATGTGAAATTCGGACGTGCGACGCGTTTCGCTTGCGAGCCCACCTTTGGTCGGTATCTTTTTTGTTCGAGCTAAACGAAACCTGAAGCGATTACAGCACAGACTTCACTTGATTCGCGTCGATTGAGTTTTCTAATATGATTCTTTTTCTCTTATGTTTCACAGCTGAAGTGCAACGCTGATTTTGAAATCGTCATAGAAGATAGTTCCTTGAGAAGTATGCGACATGTCAAGTAGAGTTGGGGTACACGTGAAACTATCTTACCCAGAACATTTCAACGAACTGCCTCATATGCGAGTTTCATGACAGTCCAAGTGTTGCACTTCAATGCGCCCTTCAGTTAATAAGATTTTTAATACCGTGCCGGAGATGGCTCGACGAAACAGCTCCATCGAAATTACTGTTGTACCGCGTTCAGTTCCCCGTTCACTTTCTTCCCCGCCGAGGGGGAAGCGGCGAAGTGACGGGCGAGACAAGGGAGGTAGCAAAAGAAAGGAGACAGATAGGGCGAATGTGAGAATAGATGTGTTTTGCTCTCTGAGGTTTTCGAGGATGGTGAAGTGTGTGAAAGCTGCGGCGCGGCGAGGAGAGGTCGGGCAGTGCGCGCGGCGCGTCCCTGACAGTACGCGAACCGTCACCTCTAATCCGTGGTTTGTCTGTAGGCATGCTATCTAAAGGCGATCGAAACGCGGCCGGACTTCGCGGTCGCTTGGAGCAATCTTGGCTGCGTGTTCAACGCCCAGGGCGAGATATGGCTGGCGATCCATCATTTCGAGAAGGCGGTCGCGCTCGACCCCAACTTCTTGGACGCGTACATCAACCTTGGCAACGTTCTCAAAGAGGCCAGGATCTTCGATAGGTAAGGGACGACGGGGAAGTTGCGTTGCGTGCGAGCTTTTATCTCCGAAGTGCTCGGATCTTTGGCATTTCGCTTGGCACGCGCTACGCCGTTAGAATTCAAACGGCAATTATAGAGCGACCGTTGGCAAGGTAACGGCGTTTCACTTGTGAACAGCTCGTGGACAAATTCATATTTCCTTGGGTTAGTCTTTTATAAATTACTTGGACTTGATTGTCGACCAGAAAATGAGCATTTTCAGTCTTTCAAGGAGTACATGAAGCATTTCATACTTAAGAAGTTATAGTTATTTAATAATCTATTTGAGAGTATCGAGCTAAGTTTCCTTACAAGCCAACGAGCAATGCACTTATTTTTAATTGAATCTCAAGTAGTGCATGTACTTGTACACGTTCTATTTCAACATTGTAGTCGAGACCAGTAGCAGGCATCTATATTAGAATTAAGAAACGTAGTCGAACCGATTAGCTTAGTAGGTAAGGCGACAGCTTATCAAACGGAAGACCTAGGTTCGATTCCCGGTTCCAATGTACCAAGTTTTAGATATTCCGTTTCTCACTAAATTCTAACGTAGATGCACAGTTTGATCAATCGTCGTCTTTTATTCAGATTGGCGTCGGTTTTAAAGTCTGTGCTAGAATAAAAACAGTGGCTTTAAGTTATTCCCTTAAATAGCCCAATCGAGGCGTTAATGGGTAGTACAAAGTCATACAAAATTCGGTACAATTTTGCCCCCAGCGACTTCTTCTCAGAAGTCACAAGTTTTTTTCATAGCACCTTTGTCGATTCAGTTAAGCATTTTCCCATAGAGTTTGTCTTTTGTAGCAAAGAAAAGTAGGAATAATTATGAATTGTTTGGCGTTGCAACGTTCGCGTTACACCATTATCAACTGAGTTGCTTTATTAAACATTTTTATTTCACATCGGTTGTCTCGTACGTTACGATTGTTTTTTAGATCTTAAAAAGATCCCGTAAAAATAACTCTTTATTTTCGACACAAAGTCGGGAGAGGTCGCAGCGCAGGGTTTCACGCATCCGTTCCCGAGCGCGTATGCTAAGGAGCCGCGATCAAAGCGCATGAGCCGGCTTGTAAACATGGAATCGATATTCATGCAACGTCCTTTCAAGTTCATCGTCCCCTGTCTCTCTCCCCAGAGCGATGCCCGCCGGGAACCTTCTTTCGCGCGACACGTATTCTCGGATGTTGCCTGATCTTCGTTTCAACCGAACGGGAACCCGTGGATAAAATTTCCTCGATAATCCGTTACTTCGACTCCTCTCGATTCGTTTCACCGCTCGTTAACACGTTAAATGCCATGTCATTCGTCGACTGACGCTTCTGAATTACTCGATAACAATCGTAACACGCAAGGTAATCGATGTCGAAAATGTTTAATAACTAAGTTGATAGTGTAATGAAAAAATTGTAACGCCAAATAGTGAATAATTATTGCTACTCTTCTTCCTTCCTAAAAAGGATAACTACAGAAAATAGTCGAGACTTTCGTGGCACTTAACGTAACGGTAATTACTTGAACCACTCAGCTAATCTAAAAATAGGACTAGAAAGAGAAGTTCAAAATTCACCAGGTCAACAGATATTTTTCTAGGTCAACAAAATATTGATTCCATATACAATCTCATTCAGCAGAGTCCATTATACACTAGACTCGAACCAATAATAATAACGACAACAAGATGCATAAGATCTAGATTTATACTAGAATCCTATTAATAGGTTATAATAATTAGAATCTATTACACACTAGACTCCAGTCAATAATAATAACATCTAAGTTTATGCTAGAGAATACTACTTCTCAGAATACCTTGAAACCCACTCGTTACAGAATCCTATTAGGTTATAATTAGAATCTATCACACTCTAGACTCCAGTCAATAATAACATCTAGGTTTATGCTAGAGAATACAACTAGAAATTGAAACCTGAAATGAATTGACCTTGAAGCCCACTCGTTAGAGAATCGAGCAACATCTTGGCAAGCGGGAAAATGAACCACCCCCGCGATCTAGGCCAGACTCATTCACGCGTAGTCGCGGTCCGAAGCCGTTTCTCAGTCGTTACGCACAATACACAGCGGGCGAAACTCGTCGTACTATCGATTCCAACACTCGCTCCGCCCCCACGGGGGAGAAGAACCCTTTATTCTTCGTGGGAGAGGAGGGTGCACGGTCCTTAACGGGGGGTGGTTGGAGGATATTACCAAAAACGTGGTGGTGGCTAACGGTTTTCTCGACTATATCACTTGTGCCACAGGCGATCGTGGAGACGTCTGTTTGCACGGGACGGACGGACGGACGGACGGTCTGTCGGTCCTCTCCTACTCCTGTTTGGTAAACGAGCATTTATCGGGATCGAAAAGCATCGAAATGGGGAAGGAATGGACTGCCAGTGCGTTGTCGTGTACACGGTGATCACGCCCTCGGCCACGATCGCACCCCCTTTACGCGCGCGATTACAGCGAGCGTTATCGCGTTCCACGAGCCCTGGTGGATGCATCTCTTGGTTTAGATATAACGTGAAAAGGTTAATTCCGACACTGGTTTATCGCATCGTAACTCTTGCCGGCCGGTCCTCTGGTAAAGTCCTCGTGACAACGGCCTAGCGATATAGTATAACCTGCTACCTAGCACGTGTTCGATTTGCGGGTGTGGTGTCCGCGGACTAGTGCCACCCTCGAAACGAGCAATCGTGGTTTCGGCTAGATTTCTACTTTTCTTTAACGCGTACAGTGTCATGGAGATTTCGGTGATATTTTCATTATGAACTGTGTTGATGTTTGAAATAGAATATTGAGTTGTATTCGAGTCTTCGGTAATTTTTATATAATTTGATAGTGTCAGGGATTTTTGATATAGAATATTGAGTTATATTTGAGTCTTTGGCAGTTTTTATGTATTTTCATATTGTTTATGTTTAGTACACGTGGCACTGAACGTGTTAGTCGTTTGCATTTGTGTTCTTATGTTGCGAGAAATTAATCAATTTTTCGAATTTATTGATGACCAGTAAGAAGATTGCTTAATTCTTGTTGTTGTTTGGAACGGGAATATTTATTAATGATACGTTATACTTGTTTGTTGACAGAGCTGTAGCAGCCTACTTGCGCGCTTTGAATCTCAGCCCCAACAATGCGGTGGTTCATGGAAATTTGGCGTGCGTTTACTATGAGCAAGGGTGGGTACAACTTTTCCTTTTATTTCTCTTTGCGTTCATCTTTTGAGCCGATGTTAATTAATGTTTCTACGTAACAGGCTCATCGATCTGGCGATTGACACGTATCGCCGTGCCATCGAGTTACAACCGAACTTCCCAGATGCCTATTGTAATCTGGCGAACGCGCTCAAAGAGAAAGGGCAAGTGGTTGAAGCCGAGGATTGCTACAACACCGCCCTTCGTTTGTGTCCTTCGCACGCCGATTCCCTTAATAATCTGGTACTTATTAATATTTGATTAGACTAGACGTGAAAGGAAAAAAAGAAGCTAAGGCAGAATTTGGCGATGCATACTGGTATATTCCTCTTTGTAACTCGTGTGTTCTCCTCACAGGCCAACATAAAGAGGGAACAAGGATACATCGAAGAAGCAACACGACTGTATTTGAAAGCGCTTGAAGTATTCCCTGAGTTTGCAGCAGCTCATAGCAATCTCGCTTCCGTATTACAACAGCAAGGAAAGCTAAACGAAGCACTGATGCATTACAAGGAGGCTATTCGTATTCAGCCGACTTTCGCGGATGCTTACTCGAATATGGGCAATACACTGAAGGAAATGCAAGATATACAAGGAGCTCTTCAATGTTACACGAGGGCTATTCAAATTAATCCCGCTTTCGCCGATGCTCATTCCAATTTAGCCTCGATCCACAAAGACTCCGGGAACATTCCTGAGGCGATTCAATCGTACAGAACTGCTCTGAAATTGAAGCCCGATTTCCCGGACGCGTATTGCAATTTGGCGCACTGTCTGCAGATAGTGTGCGATTGGACCGATTACGAGGCTAGAATGAAGAAACTGGTTTCCATCGTGGCGGAGCAACTGGATAAGAACAGGCTGCCCAGCGTGCATCCGCATCATTCTATGCTGTATCCACTATCGCATGAATTCAGGAAAGCCATCGCTGCTAGACACGCCAATCTGTGTATTGAAAAGGTTTGTATTTGTACCTACTTGCTTCCAATGGATGTAATAGAGTCTTGAATTTATGATAATTACATAAGCGTTTATTATACAATTTTTAACACGAATGCCATGGGGGCCACTGTTGATCCCCAACCAATTACTATAGTTCATTCAATGAAACTATGATTATGTAAAAACATTTCTACGTTATAAATAATGCTACCTAATACGGGGACATTCAGCTAGATGAACGTGTGGTAATCATAATGCGATTCAAACGATTTAGTATTATATTTTTTTCCATTGTGTGTATTTTGCTCTATGAAATCCGTTTTAATTGTTTCAGATTCACGTTCTGCACAAACAGCCATACAAATATCCTCGCGAGATTGGTACCCGATTGAGAATCGGCTACGTTTCATCAGACTTTGGAAATCATCCCACTAGTCATCTAATGCAATCGATCCCAGGACTTCATGATCGGCAGAGCGTTGAAATATTCTGCTACGCGCTAAGTTCCGACGATGGGACAACTTTCCGAGCAAAGATCGCGAGAGAAGCCGAACACTTCATTGATCTTTCACAGATTCCGTGCAATGGAAAAGCTGCCGACCGTATTAACGCGGATGGCATACATATTCTAGTTAATATGAACGGATACACAAAAGGCGCCAGAAACGAGATATTCGCTTTGCGACCGGCACCGATCCAAGTGATGTGGCTTGGTTATCCGGGAACGTCGGGCGCGAGTTTTATGGATTATTTAATTACGGACGAAGTTACATCGCCGTTGGAGCTTGCTAGTCAGTACAGCGAGAAGCTTGCGTATATGCCGCACACCTACTTTATTGGTGATCACAAGTAAGTTTTCATGGAATTCAATTAAATTAAATTTATATCCTCGGATAAATTACATTGATATATTTATTTCTTTTCATTATCAGGCAAATGTTCCCGCATCTCAAGGAACGCCTTATTTTAACGGATAAATTAAATATGAAAGGTAAAGTGGCGGATAACGTAGCCGTTATAAATGCTACCGATCTGTCACCGATGATCGAGAACACTTTGGTGAAAGAAATCCGTGAAGTAATTGTACCTGATTCCAAAAATAAGCCTGTTGAAATATCGTTGAAAGTCGCGGAATTGCCAACGACTACTCCCATCGAAACGATGATCGCTTCCGGCCAGTGTCAGATGTCTGTTAACGGCGTTGTAGTTCAGAATGGCATGACCACCACGCAAGTGAACAATAAAACAGCAACGGGTGAAGAAGTGCCTCAGAACATCGTGATCACGACGAGACAACAATACGGTTTACCAGAGGACGCGGTTGTTTACTGTAACTTTAATCAGCTGTACAAAATTGACCCACTCACGCTTCACATGTGGGCACATGTAAGTTTGTGAATTTTCTGATTGCTTGAAAACTGAGTAAAATCAATGTAAGCATCGTTTGTGATATTTCCAACCGATTGTTTCAGATTCTGAAACACGTCCCAAATTCGGTGCTATGGCTGTTACGTTTCCCAGCCGTTGGCGAGCCAAATTTACAAGCGACTGCTCAACAGTTAGGTTTAGCTCCCGGCAGAATTTTGTTCAGCAATGTTGCAGCAAAAGAGGAGCACGTCAGACGAGGACAGCTAGCTGATGTATGTTTGGATACGCCGCTTTGCAATGGTCATACCACTAGTATGGATGTTTTGTGGACTGGAACTCCCGTGGTTACACTGCCAGGAGAGACATTAGCATCGCGTGTTGCTGCCAGCCAATTGAATACCTTAGGATGCCCTGAATTGGTAGCGCGAACGCGACAAGAGTATCAAGATATTGCAATTCGTTTAGGAACAGATAGGGAATAGTAAGTAAATTGTAGTCTTACAATGGAAACGGAACAGATGAAATGAAGAATGTATGAATTTATAAATGAGTAGAGACTTTCAATAATCGATTTTATTTGCATTTTTCAGCTTGAAAGCAATAAGAGCCAAGGTATGGAAAGCCAGGTCCGAGAGTCCTTTGTTCAGCTGCAAATTGTATGCGTTGGGTATGGAAATGTTATACAGAAAAATGTGGGAACGTTATGCACGAGGTGAAAAGCCTGACCACGTAGCGGCTGTAGATAAAAACGAGAGAGAAAAGATAACGACCATGTCCTTATCACCGTGAATCGATCATCGCTGCTCCCTACGTTTTAATTTATATATACACACAGCTTTAATTCCGTAACCATCTGTTTTCTGGGGACTTAGCATTTATATAATGACAGATGATTATCGACATCCTATTTCACCCGAGATACGATTTTCGTATAAGATTCCGTACTGCGTTGGTAATTACTGTTTTGTACGATAAAATCATCGAGCTTAGACTTACACGTAGAGAAATACTAACCGTCGGTACCACGAAAGTTCTACTTAAGTACGTGACGTATGAAAGCAAATTATGGATTGTTAAAAACCATATGAGTCATAAGAACACAATTACGCCCGCTTCCTATGTTGTGTATCACACTTGTACATCATTCAGCTTGTTATTTATATATTACAATTTTCATATGACTGTCTCGACTTATCTATAAAAAGACACACAACTGTGGTGTGCCCATCATTCAGTGGTTAGCTTGTCGCAAGGTCAACGGATAGGGATTATTAAGTAATTTTATGTAAAAGGTGCACAAGCATACGTGTATAGTGACGGGGTTGCTATCACCAATTAATTTTATAACATATAGCCGACATTACAGTTTCGATTCGAATGTTTATTTCATTTCGAAGATACTGGACACGTGACTTCTGAACAATGTTAAGAAACTACGAGGATAATTTTCTAATTGCTCTTCGTAGAAATTGTACGCTAAGTTATTCGTGGTTTGTTACGAATACGATTGACTCGTAAACAAAAAAAGAAAAGAAAAGAAAAGAATGATATACTTAGGGAGAAGTCGGAAGTAGGTTCTACGCGTCAAGATGTTAATTAATTAGCAACTACTGACAACAAAGAACGCAAGTTGTATTATATACAATCGGTTAATGATACGCCTGTAAATATTTAAAGAAAGAAAAGGTAAACGTTAGTTATTATATTAGTTTGATAGTGAACTGCGTAAATTAAGAACGAGATATGAATTGCGTGAGGTAGCGAGGTGTTGACTGTAGCGAAACTCCTAATGTACGTCTATAGAATAAAAACAGTTACGAATCTAATTTGAACGAATGTGGACATAGTGTCGTTAAGATGCTTCGATGAACACGATAGGTACGTAATGTTCCTTTTTGTTTTTGTTTATCAAACTATTTACTCGGTCTTTCGATGTAGAGTCCGTACGTCAACTTCAGATCGCATATAGGTAAACGGATAAAAATATTGAATTCAATCTTTGTTTTTTCTGTGATTGTCTTTTGTTTTGCGTGCGACGATTGAAACTTGAATTTTAGTTTGCGGTGAGCTCCGTGTCGTAATCCATAATAACATTTCAAACGATTAGGAAAGCCGTGTGATATCCTATTAAATTTTCTGTATATGTGACCTCATCCGCCCACTGTATATTATCAACATTGCACGTTCTCGATAACGAGTAACTGTCCCATTACGCACAATTTACGTCGCAGATACAGATGTAACGTAGCTTTTAAACAAAACCCTCGTTCCCTACTTTCTGTTTCTGGTATGCCAGTAGAAACAAGTGTATCGGACAAATGGGAGATTAGCGAACGACTAGACTGGCGTACAATTCGAATTCTGAACATTAGGTAATGATTTTTATAATTCATTGGAGAATATGATTATTCGTTTTGTAAAGGTATATCATCAAACACGAAAGACGATTTTAATAATTACGAATTGAAACGAGATGTGACGAAGTTCTTTGCAATTTATGCTCAACAATGTGTTATAAATATAGGCGATGAAGATTTCAACAAGATATTTTTAATATTGAAAAGAAGTCTACAAATTATTGCTAAAAATCATTTTTCAAGGCGATTGTGACTTTCAGTTTTATCTTGGTCGAGAATAAATAGTTTGTACCTTATTCTGCCCATTCGATGTTCGTCTCTATGAAGTGTTGTGCATGCTCCTCCATTAAAAGTCTACACCCATGAGTCATGAAGCTATTTGTTCTGTCATTGATCGTTGATCTTTTTATGACCAGTATACTGATCTTTTCACCTACGTTGTAACGTAATGCTTTGATAACTATCACGTTCGTAACTAAACAAAGTTCATTTTATATAAAAATTCATGGTAATTCTCACTGAGCACAAATGACATGTCATCAAATTACTACTTCCTGTAATCCAATAATTCTCTCATGAAACTCCAAATTCTCCATTGCATTTCCTCAAATACGTTTCTCGATACTGCATATTCCTATATTTCTAATATACGTTCACATTTATTACTTTCAAACGACCTTCAAACGACCCTCGGCAATTTATTGTTCCTCGGACAAATCAATTGACCCTTGGAGGGTCACTAGCGGACAGGATGAGAACCTCTGAATCAGCTATAACGTCTCATAAATGTAAATTGTTACAAATAGACAGATGTTTATGTAATTTCATATATTAATTTATAGGGATAAATTTCACAAAATTCATAATAAAAGCTTTCCATTGTCTGAAGTGATATATACATATACCTAATAATATATACCATTAAAATTTGTGTTCCAATAAATTTTGCAGGTTAGGACTTACCATAAACATATAAATTGCTACGATCCTTACTAGAATTTTCGAAATTTAACAAACATAACAGTTCGTAAAACATAAATCGTGTTACCATTGTAAAACTAGGTCATCCATGGGAACGTTGCAGATTTAGGGAGAAAATGAAAAAAGAAACCGTCGTAGGGGCAGGGATTCTAAGAGAAGTTGAGTGATGTTATTCTGCGAGACTCTAATTGCTGCTTCTGCGCAAGGCTAGAGCGATAGCAGGTTTCGTGGTGATAGAGCACGGCATCGTGGCCCTTAGCCGCAGTATCGATTGCTTGTGACGGTGCCACCACCATGCGAGGGTGAAACTGGGTCGAAAGCATCCTCCACGGGTTCTCCGGTTCTGTCCTGCTCGCTCTGAAAAGAGCACCGAAGCTCCATCTTCAGTCATCACTTGTCACTAGCGATGCCGCTCGTAATCCACGTTCTCAATCATAGAGCAGGCATTTCCTTTTGAAATATACTCCGAGGCCTCGTTGCTTCTTCGATAATTTTAACCTCGTTACAATAACGCTCATAAATAATGCTAATAACGCTCCCATGCGATTTCTCGGATTCGTTAGGAGACAATAAAAACACAGCTACGCGAAGCTTCGAAGGAAGACATAACCTATTTCCTGTATATCGACATTTAACCCTTTGCACCCGAGAGGCGAGCCCTTTTGATTGAACGTAAAGAAATAATGAAATGAAAAATTTGATATAAAATGTTGAAGGTATTGAAACAATACACATGTCAGTGGCAAATATTGTTAATATTTCGTTAGAGGGTAATGAATGTTTGTCATGGAAAATAGTATCGAATACAAAGGGTTAATAATACATGTAAGAGAATTGAATTAGTCGTTTGCAATGTCGACGAATGTCTTGGAATAACAGTATCGTACAGTTCAAAATGGTGGCTTTCGAAGAACACGGATAACACTTCCGGTTTAGACACATTCGGGTTTCCGCGTTGATGGAAGGAAGTTTCACAGAGCCATTTAAATCGAACGATTAACTTTTATTGAAACACCCGTGGCTGGCTGTGCTCGAGAGAGTCGGGCTCGTTCTGCTCCGGGAACTGAATTTCACGTCGCGTTACTCTATTCGCATAGATTCTCGGGGATTTCGCGGTAGCGGCGCGCTAAGAGCTCAATCTCGTCGCGTTTGATCTCGTTCCTTTGCTGGAATCGGAGGCAGAGTCGGTCGGCGTTAAACTGTAAACTTATATAGACCGTAGGAACTACACCTTCCTCGATTCTCATACGTAAAAGCAAAAGTTCATCGAGCCTGGAGTCTCTCTCTCCCCGCCTCGTCGGGAAGATGAACGAAAAAGAAACAAAGTTCGAACTCGTGCGAAGCAGAAAGTGTCAATAAACGGATCAGCTAAAACGAGGTTAGGTTGGAGTTAAATTGGGTTTCTAGGGTTCGGCTGCAGTACCGTACAAAGAACCAAAAGTTTTAGGCGAACAAACTGTTTGAAAGCTGCGATATAGAAATCCGAATGCTCGTTGCTAGTACTTCGTTAGGGTGGTTAGGTCTTGGTACAAAGAACCAAAACCTTTAAGCGACCAAACCATTTGAAAACTGCGATACAGAAATCAAAATGCTGATTGCTAGTACTTCGTAAGGGTGGTTAGGTCTTGGCACAAGGAACCAAAACCTTTAGCGACCAAACCATTTGAAAACTGCGACACAGAAATCGAAATGCTCATTCCTAGAGCCTCATAAAGGTGGTTAGGTGTTGTTCAAGCGTTGGCACAAAGAACCTCAACCTCTAGGCAACGAAACCATTTGAAAACTGCGACACAGAAATTCGAATGCTCATTGCTAGAGCCTCGTCAGGGTGGTTCGCGTTTGAGTTCGCGTTTCGAGCTTCGAGGCAGGAGGGGATCCTTGACATAAATAATCAGCAGTGGAGCACCGCGGTACTGCCCCCGTAGTCATGGTAACACCATCGATC